GGGAAGTGAAAAAAATTCAAGTCTCAGCTTGCAGTATTGAAGAATCTTATGGGCAAATTATTGAATGATGCAGAAAGCAACAAAAAAGATGGAAGGAATACATAGAGTAACTGTTCCAAAACAAAATGTTCGATGTTCAGTCATTTCAAGAAATAGCATATGATCAAGAGCCAGTGGTACTGAAGGAAGAATTCTAAGGTGCACTGAAGGCATTGGCAAAGAACAAGACTCTGGGAATTAATGGAACAAATTGAAATCTTCCAACAAACTGATGCAGCATTGGAGGCACTCACTCATATATGCCAAGAAATTTGGAATACAACTACCTGGCCAACTGATTGTAAAAGATCCATATTTGTGCCCATTCCATACAGAGGTGGCCCAAGGGAATGTAGAAATCATTGGACAATATCATGAATATCACCTCCAAGTAAAATTTTGCTAAAGATAATTTTTTAAATGGCTGTATTAGTACATTGCTATAGGTTCAAGATGGATTCTATCCAGAACGTGGAATGAGGGATATAATTGCTGACATCAGGTGGATCTTGGCTGAAAGCAGAGAATACCAGAAAAATGTTTACCTGTGCTTTATTGAGTATGCAAAGACTTTCAATTGTGTGGCTCATAACAAGCTATGGACAACATTGTTAAGTGCTGTTGAGTCAGTTCTGACCCATAGTGACCTTGTATAGAGTTTCCAAGGTGTACCTGGTGAGTTTGAACTGCTGACCTTGTGGCTCAAACTGACCTTTTAGTGCTTAACCTACAGTATCACATCAGGTCCCCAACAGCAATGCGCTCAAGTGTAGCAACAGTTGTGAGGTTGGGGCAGGACTGGGCTTTGTTTCTTTCTGTAATGCATAAGGTCACTAAGTCAGTAAGGACTTGATCGCACCTAACAACAACAACCGCATGAATAACATTACTGAAAATGAGTATTCTAGAACTCTTAATTGTTCTCATGGGGAACCTGTACATAGATCAAGAGGTAGTTGTTCGAACAGAGCAAGGGAACACTGAATGGTTTAAAATCAGAAAGGTGTGTGCTAGAGTTGTATTCTTTCACTATACTTATTCAGTCTATGTGCTGAGCAAATAATTTGAGAAGCTGGATTGTATGAAGAAGAACATGGCATCAGGAGTGAAGGAAGATTCATTAACAACCTGGGATATGCAGATGATACAACCTTGCTTGCTGAAAGTTTTGGTGTTAGAGGAAAATATTAAAAGTATCATGGACTTCTAAAAGAACAAACAACCAAACCTGTGTTCGAAAAAGTATTGCCAGAAGAAGTGACTGGCTTACAAGCTTTCAAGAGGGAACCTACATCCAGAGGGCATGAAGGAAGGTAGAATCTCCACTGAGTAGTATCCAGTCTGTCTAGGTGGGGCTGATGAAATGAAATGTGAATAGGTTTCTTGTGATACAATAGTGAGTAATTGTTATCAGGACTGATTGTGAGGGTTGGAAATGTAAAGGTAGACGTTTTGTAGCAAGGAGGGGAATGATTAACTTTACAGTCTAGGAGCGGAGGTCCCTGGGACCATCAAGGGAGAAGAGCGGAGAGCAGGACCTTACCCAGAGAAGCAGTGATGCCTGAGATGGAGGCAGAGACGATGACGTGGAGAGATGGAGAAGCTGGGGACTTCAGACCCAGAGAGGGAGAGGGGCTATGTGCTGATGACGGGAGGTGAGGGGTGGTGGTGCAGGCTTGTAGTGTATACCCTTTGGTTGGTTGATGATGCATGGAGGAGATTGTAACCATGGCAATGAAATGATATATGGCAAGATGAATGTAACACTAATGTTCTCCCATGTAAACTATCACATAATTCAATAATTGGAAATGTTGGAAATGTTAAGGTGAACGTTTTGTAGTAAAACATTTAAAAAAAAAAAAAAAAAAAAGTATAGCCAGAATGCTCCTTAGAAGCCAGGATGGCAAGACTTCGTCTCTCATACTTTGGACACACTATCAGAAGGGTTGAGTCCCTGGAGAAGGCTATCATGCTTGGTAAAGCGGAGGTTCAGTGAAAAAGAGAAGGACCCTCCCCCCAACTAGATGGATTGGCACTGTGGACAGCAGCAGTGGACTCCAGCATAGCAAAGATTGTGAGCTTGTCTCAGGACTAGGTAGTATTTCATTCTTTTGCACATAAGGTCACTGTGGTGGTGTGGTGGTGGTCAGTATGTGCCGTGGAGTTGGCTTCAACTCATAGCAACCCTGGGTAGGGTTTTTGAGGCTGTAAATTTTTGAGAGTAGCGAGACTCATTTTCCCCTGCAGACTGTCTGGTAGTTTCGAACTGCTGACTTTTAGGTTAGCAGCCTGACTCATAACCATTATGCCAACAGAACACCAACAACAACTCAGAGCTAGTTTACATCTGCTATTTAGACCTGAACCTTCTGAAGTCTCTACCTAATCCCAGGTACTTATTGAGATCGCCCCACTCTGATTGCTTGTATTCATGAGTGTCTGCCTGGTGTGAACTCTCTGTATTGCTTATCATACAGCTCCCTGGTAGTTCTTTGTCTGGCCTTGTGTAATATTTATCTGTGCCTGAACTGCTTGTTGTTCAGCCCAAAGACTCAAGGCATTCTTAGATTTCTGCAACTCTTTACCTACATACTCCCTCCTCTCCATTACTCTGACCTGCAAATTCCAGCTGCCTCAGCTTTTCTGTATGCCAAATTCTGTCTCTTCCACTAAGCAAGACTGCGTGATCTGCTTGTGTTTCCTGCCCTCTTTCATGATCTGGAAAGTTTCTCCAGACAGAAAACCAGGACAAGTGTAAGATTTTCTTTGTTAACTTTCTCTTCTCCTGTGGATCATTTTACTGTACTGCCTGTTCATTGCCCAGACACAGTTGTTTCTTATATCTTGTCCAGTTTTCTAGTTGCTGTGGCAATTTTCAATAACAGTAGATCTGTCATAGCTGGAAGTGGAAATTCTACCTGTAACAATTTGATTATCTATTGATCAACTAAGGAGCTCTGGTAGCGTAGTGGTTACGAATCGGGCCGTGAACTGCAAGGTCAGCAGTTCGAAACTACCAGCTGTTCCGCGGGAGAAAGATGAGGCTTTCTGCTCCCGTAAAGATTTACAGCCTTGGAAACCCTGTTCAGGGTTGCTATGTGTCGGAACTGACTTCACAGCACACAACAACAACAAATTGATCAACTATAAGATATTACAAAGTTAATAAAATAGAACAGACTATTCGTAAAATGTAGCCATCGTATTGTGTATCTGATTTCTGCTTAAAGATAGAATTTTCTAAGAGAAAACTTTAAAAAGTCTTAATTTTTAATAATCAAAACTTTATAATTTACATACAGTAAAATTTACTCTTTTTAAGGGTGTAGTTTTATACAGTCCTGTTTTCCTTGTATAATCATGGTGTATTTTGATGATAACAGATTTTAACATAAGGGGGTTTCAAGAAGTTTATGGAGACATTCCATTATCTTTCAATTGTACTTCTCCATGAACTTTTGGAATTCCTCCAGTATTTTCTATATTTCTATAGAAATCAAGATATTCCAACAAAGTCCCTCATACAGTTTGTAGTCAGTTGCATCTACCTACTCCTAGCCCTAGTTTTCTAATCATACAGTTTTGCCTTTTCCAGAAAGTCATATAAATGGAATCATAAAATATGTAGCCTTTCAAGACTTGTTTCTTTCACTTGGCACTGGGTTTTGAGGTTCATTCATGTTGTTGTATATATCAGTAGTTTTTTCAAAGGACTAAATTTAATTTTTTCAAAATGAAAATGAAAAAGCTGTCTATCTTTGTTTTCATTTAAACGTATGGAAATGGTTTAAAATAATGAAACAGAAGTCTAATTCTTAACAAATCATGTTGTTTTTAAGTGCCATGAGTTAATAGCGACCATGTATAGGATTTTGGAGGCTTTAACTCTTCAGGGAGCAGAAAGCCTCATCTTTCTCCCGCAGAGCAGCTGGCAGGCTCAAACTTTGGACCTTGTCCATTGCTTATTTGTATGGAGCCACCACACTCCAGAAAAAAAATCACTAATAAATAAAAAATGATGACACCCACACTAGCAGATAATACCCACTTGACCTGGCTTCAATGACCAGATGATCAGAGCTCAACTAGAAAAAGAAGAAGAAAAAAGAGTAACCTGATACAGTTTGATACAACTTGACCTATACCTCTGGATGCAGTGGCTCAAAAGAGGGAACAAATCTTTCCAGCGAGGATCATTCCTACCCCCTCCATACACAGAATAGACAGGGATGGGCAACTTGGACATTGGCTTTCCAAAATGGGGGAGGGGGGACTTACAAAGGCAAAAAGTGACTGGCTTACAAGCTTTCAAGAGGGAGCCCAGATCTAGAGGGTGCAGAGGAAGGTAGAATCTCCACTAAGTAGTATCCAATCTATCTGGGCGGGGCTAATGAAAGGAGATGGGGATAGGTCCCTTGTGGTACAATGGTGAATAATTGTTTTCAGGACTGACTGTGAGGGTTGGAAATGTTAAGGTGGACGTTTTGTAGCAAAAGGAGGGGAGTGACTGACTTTGCAGTCCAGGAGTGGAGGTCCCTGGAACCATCAAGGGAAAAGAACAGAGTGCAGGACCCTACCCAGAGAAGCAGTGACTCCAGAGATGGAGGCAGAGATGATGACATGAAGAGATGGAGCTGCTGGGGACTCTAGACCCAGAGAGGGAGAGGGACTGTATGCTGATGACCGGGTTGGGGGCAGGCTTGCAGGGTATACCCTTTGGTTGGTTGATGATGCATGGAGGGGATTGTAGCCATGGCATTGAAATGATACACAATACCATGAATGTAAAGCTAATGTTCTCTAATGTAAACTATCACATAATTCACAATAAACATTAAAAAGAAAAAAAAAAACCCAAAAACCTAAAATGCCTGAATAAACCCCATAGTTGAGTTTAAAAAAAAAAATGATGAGTGAATCCCACTAATATTTAATCTGTGCATCCCTTTCTGCTATAGGAGAGACAAATGTCAAAGAGAATGAAAAGGTATCCCCGCTGGCTGGGCCATTTGGTGTCTTCTCCACCATCTCTACTGCTGTTCAAAGCACAGTAAGTACACAGTGCTGAAGAGCCTGCTGGCTCCCAATATTATAATAGGTTTGCTTATCTTCACTCATTTTCTTCTCTTTTATTTATAAAGCCATGGGCACTGATTATTCTTGTGGGAGTCCAAATCACTGGTAATCACTTTGATCTTACTGGGAGACTCAGAATAACTTGGAAACTTCCATCAGATAAATAAAAGAGGGAGTAGGGAATGAAGAGTATCAGAGAGGCAATATATATATTTGATGGACTGTTGTTGT